GTTTCTCTGGCTTAGGACTGTTCACTGGAACTCTAAAACTGCTTTCTATGCGAGAGCTTGTTCAGCTTCCAGCTTCTCCTCCGCCATCTTGTCGCCTCCTCTCCAACTTCCAGTTTTTAACTCAGTTTTAGATATAGAAAATTCTAGATGAAATAGTCTCATCTGCTTCTACTCAGGTGAGGCCTGTTCTCTCTGTCAACCAATATGCTGTATTAATGTGAAGAGAACAAGTAGTAGCTGGGCACTGGTGGCTCATGCCTGTAATCCTAGCTACTCAGGAAGCTGAGATCTGAGGATTGATGTTCCAAACCAGCCCGGGCAGGAAAGACCTTAAGAGTCGTCCCTTCAATAAACCACATGAAAACTGGAAGTGGTACTGTAGTTCAAGTGGTAGAGCCTTCACCCTGAGCTGAAGAGATAAGGGACAGTGCCCAGGCCCAGAGTTCAAGCCCCACGACCAAACAAAAAATTAAATAAATAAAAATAAAAATAAAAACAAACTGCAGTTAGAAGAGTCCAAATATATGGTTTATAAAAAGCAAGTTCTGTGAAAACTGACTCACTCCATGAGAGGAGATATAGCCCTTCTGAGAACAGGACCTCCAATGATCTAATCACTTCCTACAAGGAGGCCCTTCAGATGACCATGTGGGGCCTTTGGAGCATCAGCACCAACTTCCTTCTCCACATGTTCCTTCTTACCATGTGATATTCTGCCACATGACAGAGCAGAATCCTTGGAGACAAGAAGTAGGAACTGAACTCTCTGTAACAAATAAGCAGAAACTGGTTAATTTCGATTGGGAATTGAGACATTAAAAGATTTTATGTTAATTTAAGATAACCAGAATTCTATACCTACATTTGTCTTTACATAGTTTAAAAAAGGGTTAAAAAACATAATAGTATAGAAGTGGAATATATCTTGATCACTTTCTCCCTTTAATCTCTAGATGGAAGATTTAAGAAATTCTGTGAGCAATTTGTTGTGCAAATGTAATGTGGAAGATTAACAGGACAGATAATGGGTTATAATACTCATTACATTGAATATGTAGTTACACTTTGAAGTAAAACTTTATAACATTATTCTTTTATACTTTTTAATTTTATTCTGTTGTAAAGGTACTGTACAGAAGGGTGACAGTTACATAAGTGAGGTAATGAGAACATTTCTTGTCAAATATTGTTACCCATTCCTTCATCTCCTACTATCCCTCCACCTAACCCACCTACCCCGAAGTTATAAAGTTCATTTCCAAGGTAGTGTCCTGTGAGTATCACTGTTGCATTGGTCACCCTTTGTCCTTGTTTCACCATTTTGTTATTCTCCTTCTCTTCTCAAGTCATATAAACGTGTATAAAAGATGCATGGTACCAGAATATAAACAGTGATTACAGGGGATAAGCCAAACGGAAGTTAAAAAAGATATAATAAAAAGAAGGAACTTGATAGAGTATATAGACCACAACAAAGACAACAAAAAAGACATCTTGTTTCTATATCTTGGAGTTCATTTGGATTAGCATTATTTGATATGGTGATATGTACATAGCTATTGATCTATTGTGATTGTCTGCAAGGACTACACTAGACATATACTAATTATGACAAATGAAGGAAACTATAGACCTATGTTTCTTTGGATCTGATTACTTCACTTAACATGGTTTATTCTAAGTCTTTCCATTTTCTTGCAAAGGGATTTCTAGGGCTCCTTTACCCTGATGAATACATTCTAAATAAAGATCAAGAAACACAACAAATCAAAGAATGGATGGATAAATGGTATCATATTAAGCTGCAGAGCTTCTGCATGGCAAATGCCATAGCCAGCAAGATAAATAGAAAGCACACAGACTGGGAGAAGATATTCACTAGCTATACAACAGACAAGGCTTCATATCAAAAATATATCTAAAGTTCAATAAGCAGCCCTCCAAAAAATCCACAAAGAAAAACCAGCCCATTAATCATTGGGCTAATGAATTAAGAGTGTATTCTGGAGAGAAAATAAGAATGGCCAATAGACACCTGAAGAAATGTTTAACCCAGGAGCTGGTGGCTCACAGCTGCCATTTTAGCTTCTCAGGAGTCTGAAGCCTGAGGATTGTGGTCCAAAACCAGCCAAGGTAAGAAAGATATTAAGACACTTATCTCCACTTAATCAGGAAAAATCTGAAAGAAGAGCTGTGGCTGAAGGTGGCGAAGCACTAGCATTGAGCAAACAGAGTTTAAGGACATTGCCCACACCCTGAGTTCAAGCCTGAAGATTGGCACAAACAAGCAGACAAAAACAAAAACAAAAGAAAACCAGCTGTTTTAGAGGATGATTATGAAGTTTGAGAGATTCTCTTTACTTCTCTGTTAGCCCCTATAAAGAACATATCTAGTTAATACACATCTTATACACACACATGTGCATATACACACACGAATGTGCACATATATACATGCACATGCACGTGCATATACACACATACACAGTCCATTTCCAGTTGCTATAAAAACGTAAGTCACATTCATTAGTTTGACGCATACACTCATTCATTCAGAGAATGATAATTAGTTTTTAGTTGGCCTAATTGAAAAAAAAATGCCACAAACCTTACAAACTATACTAAAAAAGAATAATATCTTTATGAAAAAATAAAATATTTACTCCAATTTGACACCTTCATCATCATTTGTTGTCATTTACAGAGATCATTGCACTGAATTCAACATCCAAAGCCAATGTAACTTGTACTCATTTATCTCTTGTAATGTCATTATGGCAACATGAAGAACTAAGTTTTCCAGAAGACATTTCAAAGTTAGCTTTCTTACAGAACCAAATCTAGAAATGGATTTGTTTTATGGATGTTTCAATAAATAAAGTACTGGGTTTAATTTGGGCTTATTACCCAAGATTACATTTTATTACTTGGTCTTGGGTTAAATTATAAAAAACTATATTTTCTTACTATTTTTTATTTATAACTGCTGGGCTGAACATGGAGCCTTATACTAGCTTGGCTAGTCCTCTGTCCCTGACAAATTCCTTCACCATTCTTTGATGGTAGCTATTTAGGAAATAGGTCTTGTGACCCTTTGTGACCATGTACTGATCTTCAACCCAGATGCTCCAGATCTCAATCGCCTAAGTAGCTTGGCATACAAGCTTGATCTTTGCTTCCAGCAACAATCTGTAAAACCCTTTCCTCTAGCACTTGTTAGCTGTCTGGAGCATGTTTCAGAAGTGAAGTAATATAGGCAAAAATAGTTCCAGAAGCTGGTTAATCTGGACTCACGTGTACTATTTAGCTATTTGCACCTGAAGAAACTAATTATAAGCAGAACTCTGAGTAGCCAGGTTTGGTCCCAAGGATACTATGTAAGTGATCAGATGATGGAAAGAAAAAAGCAAATGTGGAATCTTTTAGAAAGGAATTAAAAACTGGAGCCATTGCAGCAAATCATTGTGAGCCTACTATAGGTTAAAACAATTTAAATGCACAGTTTTCAAGAATTTCCAGTAGTTAAGTACTTTAAATATCAACTCTACTCTTTCAATAGAAACACAATGTGAAAGGGGAATTGAGAGATACCAGAATAGGAAATTACAAAGATAACTGAAGTGTTAGTTCTTGTGTTACCTCATGCAATACATTATTTTAAATACTTTTTTTATTGTAAAGCTACTGTACAGAGGCTTTACCATTACATGAGCAAGGTAATGAGTACATTTCCTAACGAGCATTATTACCTACTCTTTTGTTTTTCCCCTACCATCCCTTCCCTCTCACCTCCACAACCACCCCCCCATAACTTTTGTTACTATTTATTTGTTTGGCTCTGATCCTGGGGTTGAACTCAGGACCTGGTTGCCCTTGCTGAGGCTTCCGTCCTCAAGGATAGTGCTCTATCACTTGAGCCAACACTCCACTTCCAACAATGATTTTGGATGGGGGATGCCTTTGGGGAAGAGCAGTTCAGTGGGTAGGACAGTCTCCTGTACTTTCCTGCATGGTCTTTTGCAACCATGTCCTTCAGATCCCAATCTCCTGAGTAGCTAGTATGGCAAACTTGAGTCAGAGTCCTCCAGCTTTTCCGTGTTTGGAAAACAATCTGATTACTTTCCCCTAACCAGAGGCCCACTGAGTAGTCTGTGCTTGATCTGAGTCTGACATACACACACAGATTGCATGTGTGTTTGCCTGTGTGTGTGTGTGTTTGTGTGTGTGTAGTCTTTGCACTATACAGATATTCCCTGTGATTTGAAATCCTCAGATAATATTGCATGTATTCATTAATATATTGGTATAAAACTTAATTTTATTGATTTTGACCATGTTTGACTGCTTTCCCCTATCCACAGTCCATCTGCACAATGTGTGCACTTTATGGGTCTATGTTTGGGTATATGATGCATCTTCACACAGCTGTTCCCTGTGAATGGGAGGAAAACCCATTTCCTTATGGAGAGTAATAAGACTTACTAATGTATATGTCTTATCATTCCTATCCACATGGAATACCTGTTCCTTAGGACATCTTCCTTCAAGTTGTATAAGGGCGGGAGTTAAGGAGGGAGGAGTAGCCATGAGGTGCTAGGGTCTCAGGGGTAAGGTAAGAGTGGACATATTGTGAGACTGTAGTCCTGGCAGAGGCATGGGAAAGCCAGTGGGCAGTGTCCTTTGGACATCCAGTGTTCCAGGCCTCTCCAGCTCATCGCCAGGGGAAATTGCCATTATCTTAGTTGTCCTCATGAATGGTCTTGACCATGAGCCGGGCAGTTTTCATACCAGCAGCCTTTCCAGTGCTGCCCATGGACCTAGGGACAGCCATGGTGGTGCTGGAAGGGGCACAGGCTGTTGTCTGGGCTTGGGATGAAACTTCCTTCCCCTGAGACCACCCCTGCCCTCACCCCGCCAGCACTGGCAACACTACCAGCACCCCTTCCTCTTTCTATTCCTCCGGCTCCTGGCTGACCAGCACTTCACATCACACTTGATAGGTGGGCAGAGATGTGGCCATTCCCAGTGCAGGCCAGGTCGGGCTGGAGTTGACCTCGTCAGGACACTGTGCCCCTGTGTTCATGGCCAAGAAGCTTGTGCAAGAGCCAGGAGGCTTTTCTGGATGTTGGTGTAGGAGCATCTTGGCCTGTTGGCCTCGGCTCATCTTGCTTTGGGCAGCCCAGAACCTGGCTCTGACAGCTTTCAGACGCCATTCTTGGTGTTGGCAAAGCCGCAGGTACAGCTCTCGCCAGGATTCGCCCTCTGCTGGTTTTTAGTCTTTGAATGCTTCTCTATGCCAGACTTGCCCCAGATTGTCTGTACTGCTTTGGGCCAATGTCCTAGGCAGTTGTGGGGAAGGGACTTTTGGAAGGTCAAGCAAAGTGCATCTTGGGAGACCCCCTACTGGGATGTGAGGGCTTAACAGGCCCCAGTCAGGGAAGGGCTTAGAGGAGGAACTGTGGGAGGAGGTGGGGCACCAGAGGACTATATAAGGCAGGCAGCTGGCAGGCAGAGTTACTCTGGACGCTGCCGGGCAGTGCCACGTGCCTCACTGTGACCGACCAGAGACAAGTGTTCTGAGCACAGTGAGTGAGCATGGCATCCAGGAACCCAGGTGAGTGGCCCAGGCACCTATGTAAATGTGGACATGGTTGGCAAATGATGGAGGTGGCCAAGTGGGTGTGTGGAGTTGTGAGGCAGATTCAGGAGCACCTGGCCTCCAGAACAGATGCCGAGGAGCTCTGCAAATCCTTGGATCTGCTCTCAGTCATTCCCATCAAGGCAGGAATCCTTGCCACCACGGGTGTCAGAAGAATTGTGAAGAGTTTTAGGAAGCCCCCACAGGTGGCCGGTTTGGCCGAGGAACTGGACAAACACTGGAAGACGTTGGCTGTTCTGAGCCACAAATCTGAGGCTCTGAGCCAGGTCCCTGACCAGGATGGAGGTCCAGAGCCCAGGAAGTATGATCTTGGGCAGGGGGAGGGGCAGAGGGTGAAGGAGGATGGTGAGAGGGAGCAGGAGGATCTGTTGAAGGCATGAAATGTGGATCTGTCCTCTCAGAGAGGGGCGAGTGAACCCCTGGATGGAGGAGTCCAGGTGTGTGGTTCCTGAGTCTCTGTAGACATGGCCAGGGGTGGCATGGAGACGCAGACCGCCGAGTGGGTGTGGGGAGCCTTGCGGCTGCTCCAAGAGCACCTGGCCTCCAGCACACATTCAGAGGAGCTCCGCAAATCCTTGAGTCTGCTCTCCGTCTTGCCCATCATGGCAGAAATCCTTGGTGCCTCGGATGTCAGAGAGATAGTGAAGGGTTTTAGGAAGCACCCGCTGGTGGGCAGTATGGCAAAGGAGCTGGACACACGCTGGGAGACCTTGGCTCTCCTGGCGTGCAGCCCAGCGTTTCTTTCAGTGCTTCTACACCAGGTCCCTGAACAGGATGGCACTCAAGAGCCCAGGAAGGAGGCTCTTGGGCTGTCAGAGTCAGGGTGCCTGCGAGAGAACAAGTTGAAAGAGTCAAGTGTAGTTTGGGGCTCCGGGGGGAAAGCCATGGTGTCCAGGAAGGGAATCCCTAGGTCTGGGCCAGAGGCCCCATGGCCTGGGAAGCTGTGTAAGCTCCAGGGACCTGGCAAGCAGACTGCCAGCCCTTGACACAGTAGCAGGTGGGAAAAGCATCCCGGAGTGGCCCCAGCATCCTCTGGGGGCAGCATCAGTCCTCATCACTGGTTCATGGACAGCTCCAGAGGCCCTCAGGACCCTGGACCCACTGGTACCAGGGGCATGCCTGGCATCGGGTGCCCTCCCAAATCTTAGGTCCAGGACTCACCAAGGTGCCTACAAGAGGGGTTCCCTTAGGTACCCCAGGGACAGGACAGTGCCAGACCAAAAGAGAGGTGTTGATCCTCTGTGGAGGAGAAAGGAGGATTAGGCCCTCTAAGGTCAGACCTCTGGCAACCCAGAGAAGCTGCGCAGGGGCAATCACCAGAGCGAATCCCAGCAACAGCATGAATTCTGGGCACCTCCACAGTCTTTTGAGGATGCCCTAACCAGACCCAGCTGCTGCTGAGGAGACAGAGGACCAGGGGCAGGATTCGTGCTCCTGCCTCGGCTTCAGGATGTCTGAAAGGGGATGGCTCCCATGGCCCCAGTAGACCCTCAGATTCAGTGCATAGCTCAGTCTTGAGGGTGAGCACAGGACAATTGGCCTCAGCCCCAGCCAACTATAGAGCCAGTGTCACCAATTCCACACAAGAAGCCAGGGTGCCAATGGTGCTGCTCAGCACTGAAACCCCTAATTTCCCTGGGTCGCAGGCCAACTCTGGTGGGCTGCCCCACCTGCAGTGGATGTCCCCATTCCCTCCACGTGGTCTTGGAGCCTCTGTGCCCTGGAAAGTGGGAGAAGGAGAAGGAAATGTGGTGGGGAAGGGGCAGCCGTGCCTTTTGTCTGAATGTCCCTGAAGATGACGCTGTACTCTGGACCAAAGCACGGCTCCCTCGCTCCCTGACACAGCCAGGATGTCCAGGGTCTCCCACAACACAGTGCTCCAGCCAGTCCCAGGCCGCCCTGCATTCTCCTCGCACCAGTTTCCAGGACTTATACCCCTTCTCCGCACCAGCATCAAGGTAACACTCACCCCACGCCCGTGGCACACACGGTTTGCAAGCAGTGAGTGCCAGGGTCTAGCCTGCCCAATCCAAGAAGAGCAGAAGGAAATGGGTCCAGAAGCATCTACCCTCACCTCCAGAAAAGCCTCCTGGCCCTGGTTCAAGCTTCTTGGCCAGATTGTAAGGCCAGCCATGTCCCAAGGAGGCAAGGTCATGCCCGAACTGGCCCCCACTGTGAGTGTGCACATTGCCAACCACCTGGCACGTGCTGCAGGCAGTGCTGGTCAGCCAGGAGCTGGAGGTGTAGGAGGAGGAAGGGGTGCTGGCAGTGTTGCCAGTGCTGGTGGAGGTGGAGGAGAGAGTGGTCTGGGAGGCAGGATGTTTCATCCACAAGCTCAGACAACAGCCTGTGCCTGTTCCAGTACCACCATGGCTGCCCCCAGGCCCATGGGCAACACCGGAAAGGCCGCTGATATAAGAACTGCTGGGCTCTGGTCAAGACCATTCGTGAGGACAACCAAAGCAATGGCAAGTTCCCCTGGTGATGAGCTCAGGAAGCCTGGAATAACAGGGAGTTATCCAAAGGACACTGCCCACTGGCTTTCCCATGCCTCTGCCAGGGCCACAGTCTCACAATATGTCCCCTCTTACCTTACTCCTGGGACACTAGCACCTCATGGCTACTCCTCCCTCCTTAACTCCAGCCGCTATACAACTTGAAGGAAGATGTCCTAAGGAACAGGTATGTCTCACGTGGATTGGTTTAGAAGATATATACATAAATAAGTCTTAATAATCTCTGGGAGGAAGGGTTTTTTCCCATTCATAGGGAGCAGCTGTGTGAAGATGCACCATGTGCCCACACATAGACCCACATAGTGCACATATTCTGCAGATCAGCTGTGGATAGGGAAAAGCAGTCAAACATGGTCAAAATCAGTGAAATTAATTTTATACCAATATATAAATGAATACATGCAATACAGTGGGGGGATTTCAAATCACAGGGAACATCTGCATAGAGCAAAGAATAGACACACCCATGTACACAACAAACACACAATCAGTGTGTTTGTGGGTCTCAGGCTCAAATAAAGCACAGACTACTTGGTGGGCCTCTGGATAAGGAAAAGTAATCACATGTTTTCCAAAGAGAAGAAAAGCTGAAGGATCTCTGACTCAAGACTTCAGTGAAGACCATGATTCCAAAAAGACCAGATAGGAAAGTACAGGAGCCTGTCATCTCCACTGAACTACTCTTCCCCAAAGGCATCCCACCCTCATTGCTGGAAGTGGAGCTTTGGCTCAAGTAGTAGGACACTAGCCTTGAAGAAGGAAACCTCAACAAGGGCAACCAGGCCCTGAGTTCAAGCCCCAGGACCAGAGCCAAACAAATAAATAGTGACAATTAAAAATTTATAAAAAATCTTGTACATTAAAAAGTTTTAAATATGTTTAAGAATATTCAGGCGAAAAGATGATTCATGGAAAAGCTGAGAGACACAGGTGGTGTCCCTCAACCTGGGCTCCAACTGGTGAGGCAGCTGGAGACGCACACTGGAGCCAAGGCTGCCTGAGAAACCAACACTTCATGTCCTAGGAAGCATTGTGTGTGAGGCTTGGAGGCAGAGGGAAGAGGAGGGGAAACAGTTGAACACCACCTTTATCAGCACAGGTGTGGATGGACATTACTTCCAGGTGCTTGACAAACCTGAGGCAACTACCCCTGTCCACACCACATTATATACATCAAGAGGGAGAGGTTCCAACAGCACTGGTCTTACAAATCCCCCCCTCTCATTTTCCCTAGAATGCCAGAGATTGGCATGTAGGATATAGAGAGGTGTTAGCTACCATTGACTTCATGCCTTCATTCAGTGGGCTCTGGTGGGAATGTGATGGCTGTCAATGACATGAGTGCAAAAAGAGGTCTAGAGTATTTCTTGTGAGCAATGAATGGTGAAGAGGCAGTAGCCTGGCTCTCATATAGTGTCTGAACATCTGCAAGATTCACAGGAGTGTAATGCATTGTCTGTAGCTAACAATGTCCTGTGCTGATCCCATGCAAAGAAACCTGATGCTCTGTCAATCCCCTCATCACAGGTAAAAAGAGCTTCCAAACTGCTTTCTGCTTCAAGGAGTAGACTAGCACAACCTACACTGCTGGGTTTATAAACATGCTGCATGCTGTGAAAGGATAACTGAAGATCCATCAGGGTTTTCCCAACATGGAGCAGAGGCAGTAGGAATCCATGTTCATCAGTCAGATCTGCATTAGGGATGATCTGTGTAGCCGTAGGAAGCAAAGACACCTGAGCCTGTGCAAGATTCTATCTTTCTCCATAACCAAGAGCAGCCTTCTTGCACACTGTCATTAGTTAATATCCCATTGCAGACACTGACCCTATAACAAAGCATATACTGGATTACGGCTCAGATGTTTTCCTTTACCTTTACCCCCCAGAAGTTTCCACACCAAATGTAACCTTGTGTTGAATATAAATTTATCAAATAATTGGGGAAAATAAAAACTTAGTGACCATCAGTCTAAATAGAAGGAATGATGTTTACTGTGACGTCTTAAACTCACTGGTCCTTATTCTTCTGTTTTCTTGTGATGATATTAACATAAAACTTTATTTTATTCTTTAAATATGTTGTATACGCAGAGTACTTAGTTGCTACTTCCATAACAACAGCATTTTAAGGGGGCTAAAAATTCCTTTCAATAATGGTTTAAAGTGATAGCATTTTTTATGATCATAACAAAAATAAAAATGTAATCAAACAATATATCAATACATTATTCTGACAATATTACCATCCGAATTTGAAAATAAATATGACTTGTTTATTTGTTAGGAACTTAGGCAAATATATGCCATTTGATTTCTTTTAAAATAGTGCTTTATGACCAGTTCTCAATAATGCTTGTCATTTCAAAAATTTACATGGTATAATAAAAATAAAAGAACACTTCCATCACCATGGTAACATAAAGAAGACTTTGGTCAAGAGAGTAAATTAGTTTAGAGAAATATCTCAAGATAATGGAAATTCCTACTAATTCTAATTGAGAAGAACTGGAATTTGACAGTAGAGCTTCTTGAATTCAATGGTATTTACAATCATCTGGTCCTTACACCAGCAAAACACTAGGGGTCACTCAAGTCATATATGTCCAGACATTCTTCTCATTAAATCTGGACTTTTTCAGGCTTCATTCAAAGGATAGGAGGAAAAAAAACAAAGGAGAGGCTCATAATGCTTGACAAGAAATGGACTCATTACATTACTCATGTAACTATAACCCCATCTACAAAGCATCTTTGCAATAAAATAAAAATTTAAAAGACACCAATGGCTCCCACTTCTAATTCCACCTAATTGAGGGTTGAGAATACGTGGTTTGAAGGCCATCCTGGACAAAAAGTTCACAAGACCCCTTCTCAAATGATAGTGTTGCACACAATGCTGTGTAGCTTTTATCCTAAGCTATGGAAGGGGGTGAAATTTGGAGGATTGCATTTCCAATTGTGTTATTTGAAGCTCATATTCACCTTTGCTGCAACCTTACTTTTGTAAATTTTATTTTATTGTAAAAATGCTGTACAGAAGGGTTACATTTACATGAGTAAGGTAGTGAGTACATTTCCTGTTGAGCATTGTTACCTTTTCCCAACTTTTTCTCCCTCTATCCCTTTCCTCCCCCACCGCCTCACCCCTTCACCCTCCCCTTCCCACTGTGCCCCCCCGAAATTATAAAGTTCATTTCCAATATTCTCTCTTGTGAATATATGGCAATGTGTCATCCTATGTCTTTGTTTCACAATTTTGTTAGTCCTCTTCCCCTCCCCAAATTAGACAAATGTATATACAAGATGCAGGGTATCAAAATCAAGTACAGTAAAAACAGGGGATATACCGTAAGAGACGAACATACAAAGGAAAGAAAATAATCACATAGTACATTAAAAATAACAACAATAAAGAAAGACCTCTTGTGTCTATATCTTGGGGTTCATTTCCCTTAGCATCATGTTATATGGTCATATGTACTTGGTGTTTCAGCTTTTTCTGCTCATCTGATAAATTGTCCTATACACACATGAAATATTATAAATGAAGGAAACCATGGGACCTATATTTTCTTGGGTCTGGCTTACTCAACCTTAGATCTATGGGACTGACTGTCCTTTTTGCCAGTTCTGTACTTGAACTCAGGGCCTGGATGCTATCCCTGGCCCTCTCTGTGCTCAAGGTTAGTGCTCTACCACTTGAGTCACAGCATCACTTTTGGCTTTTTCTGTGTACGTGGTACTGAGGAATTGAACTGAGGGCTTCATGCATACTAGGCAAGCACTCTACCACATAGCCACATTCCCAGCCCAGGACTGACTGTCTTATTTCACAATTGATCGGGTGATTCTTTCTCCATCCTCATATCCACTCTTCTTCCACCTGTAACTGAGAGCTATTCTATTCCTCTAATTGTTCTTCTCTCAAACCCACATCAGAGGAATAATAGTCAGGAGATTTTGTCTGCAACAGGAGTGCATGTTTACCATAAGCCAGGTCCAGCTTCAAAGCTCTACTCATTATGTGGAGGGGGGAGAGGAAAACATGAATTTATTTCTATAATCTGCTTTGGTTCCAATAGTGTGTGAAATAGTTCAGTGAGCAGGGTTGCTATAGGAACCTGTCTTGTAGGGTCTGATACAGATGGACTCTGACTTTGGCAATGCCTGCTCTGTGAGCTAATGGCCTTCGGGGAGCAGTGTTATCTTTGTGCACCTGCTGCAACTGCTTGGACTGACAATAAGATGTTGGATTAATTGTCAAGCACATGTCCTGTCCGTGTCTTTCCAGTTGTGACATCCAGCACTAGGGTGAACAGCTCCCTCACATGCTAGACTCCAGGTGGGAGCCTTCCTCATTGTACTCTGGATTTATCACCTGTGGCATTTTCCCTTGTCTTCTCTGGGCTTTGCAGCTCCATTTTTCCACTTCACACTTCACTATGCTACATGTCATTCTTTCAGAGCTTGCTTATATCATAAACTATGAGTTCAATCACTAAAAACTTCTTTAATTACAAATTCCATTAAATGGGAGGTGGTGTAGGAATTTACAGTTTTAAGAGGAAGAGTAAATTGTAGTTCAGCCTTGGTTTAGAGAATAGCTCAGATTCTGAGGAGGAATAACTTGGATTAAGAACAGTAAGGCATGAACATCATCAAGACTTTAGGAGACTTGCAGTCAGAAATGTACAATGATAATAAGGCTATGCCTGTAGCCAGGTCCTTTCAGTATACAGGGAGCCAATGTCTGATGTTAAGTCTACGGGATGATGGTGGTGGGAAAGTGCATTCAGAAACAGAGAACAGCAACCTGGAGTTGATAGCAAAACCCAATGGCTATCCTGAACATTGTACACCATAGCACAATTCCGCACATACTTTAATTTCATACTTTTCATTGTCTTTCATTAAGTCTTAATTAATACTTGTCTACCATCAATTTATTTAACTATCACTCTCTCTATCAACCTACATACCCATGTAGGTTGAGTAATTGAATGATTGTGTCTATGATTAACAAACCGGTTCAAGGAAACCAAAGACTTAGAAAATCTGATCGAAATCATCAATTCTACATTTTGGAGCCATTTGTGCTTGAAAAATTGACTTAGACAAAATGCTATGATGAAAAGCGTGTGATGACCCATGTATAAATTAAAGTTCATTGTATTTAACCAGAGAGGCATTCTGTCTGCTGAACCACAGAGAGAAACACATTCTCTTCAGGCACAACAGTGCTACCCAGGTATTGTTTTTTGTATATGGGACGTCATGTCTGGCCTGAGATACTGAAATCTGGCATGTTGGTGCAGCTGTGCTGGCCCCTCCCAACCCCTACTGATTTGCATGTGCCCAGAGCACAGCCCACTGCCCTGAGAAGTTCTTGAAATCTGCTCACATCCTGGGCAGGAGTCAGTCCTAGTCAGCACACAGCATGGACACGAAGGCCCCTGCTCAGTTCCTGGGGCTCCTGCTGCTCTGGATTACAAGTAAGAAAAAACTATGCTGAGGGTCTCCTCAGTCTGCTGTAGTCAATGATGCTTGGCTGTCTATGAAGCTTTCTTATAACATGCTTGATTCTTTGCATACTTATTACTTTTCCAATGGCAGGTACCAGATGTGACATCCAGATGACCCAGTCTCCATCCACTTTGCCTGCATCTCCTGGAGACAGAGTCTCCATCACTTGTCGGGCCAGTCAGAACATTAACTATGGGTTAAACTGGTACCAGCAGAAACCAGGGGGAGCGCCAAAGCTCCTGATCTATCGTGCAAACAATTTACAATCCGGCATCCCCTCCAGATTTAGTGGCAGTGGATCTGGAACAGAGTTCACTCTCACCATCAGCAGCCTGCAGCCTGAAGACATTGCCACTTATTACTGTCAACAGTATTATGATTACCCACCCACAGTGATACAAGCCATAACATAAACCTCCAAGAAGCAGAAGTGTGAGCCTGGGCTCTCCCAGCTGCTTTCCTCATGCTTCCTCTTGTAAGAGCTGTCCTAGAATCATAGGACAGGAATCCTGCCCAGGACATCCTGGACCAGCGAGCTTCTGTGTCTCAATCTTTGGAGTAAGTATAATTATAGATGTGAGATACTGGCACTGGGCTGAATGTTGAAATATTAAAATGACATTCCAGACTATAAAGATGGAAATACTCTGCCTTTATTCATGTTTTTTTAAAATATTTAATAGATATTCACAATGTGCACAGAGACACTTCGAAGTTATTTCAAAACTTTTATTTTGAGATTTTTCAATACTTCATGCATGAATTTCATCAGCAAGTAAAGACAGTTTGCCACTTTCTTTTTCTGCCTCAGGTCTTTTGTGCTTTTTTCAATTAGTAATTGTAACCCCTCTGTGCAGTATTTTCACAATAAAAATTTAAAAAGAGAAAGTAAAAATGACAAATATACGGCATCTCTCTTTTATAGGCAATGTTTTAACAGTGGATATAGGAGGAACTAGATTGAGGAGGTGGGCGTGTTGCCATTGAAGAAAATACTTAGGATTATGAGATATATGATCCTGTGAGTGAAAATAGCCAAGGGAAAAATTGGTCCATGGATTGAAGATGGTAAAATCCCAGAGAAAGGTACAGCAACGTGTTTAGCACTACTGTAACAGTTACACAAACGAGGATGCTGAAGCAGAGAATTAAGGAACTTAGCAGCTACCACACTCCATAAAGCATGGAAGGGCGGGGCCACCAGGGCACTTTGTTTGACCTCAGCCTCACAGGATAGTAGCTGGATTGTGTCTATGGATGTGCATTTTACCTTGAGTCTGCAGAGACATACATGGAATAGAGTGGTATAGATGAAATGCTTTCTTGAGACACATGTTGCAGATGGAAAAGGAGAGTTTAATTTTTATTGAGGAATTAGAAGACAGACAGGGAGGACATTCAGAGCCAGAGAACTTAAGCCAAAGTAAAGAGTGGATCACACTGTCCTTCAAGACATGCATGGTTGAAGACCACTATCCAATGAGCACAACTTGAAGGAGCAGGAAAAACCTAAGGTGGGTTCTAGGTAGACCTGATTTTCAGACTGCTAAGTAGCAGAGATCATGAGATCACTGTGATTTTTTGCTCATAACAATTGCTGCATAATGGACAACTGTTTGGTTGGCTACATAGTTTTAGTGTCTCTGTTATTAGAGCTCTCTACAATAACTTTTGGATAAGATTTTCACCTTGGTTCCTGGAATTTTCTTCAGAGTTTTTCTAGTGTTAGGTTCAAGAAAAATTCACTGCCAATAACTTTGGGTGAGACACATGTAAGTGTATGCTTTTAACATTGCTCATGGCAAGTACACATCATGACCCCTACCATGAGATGACAAGAAAACAAATAAGAAGAATATGAGAAGTCCAGGCCTGGTGATGCATGCCTTGTACTTTCAGATATAAAGGACAAAAAGGTAGAAAGATCTCAGCCCAGGTCCAGCTCAAGCATTTTTATACATTCCAGATGATATCAGAGCAATGATTAAAGCAAAAGCAGTTGGGAGGGTGGCTTAGTGGATAGAGTGCTGGCCTAGCAATCTGAAGTCCCTGAGTTCCAACTGTAGTACACTCAAAAAGAACTGTGAGATATAGAGAATAAAAACTGTAATGATACACAAGAAAGATTCTATGCAAATACCATCAGGATAATTTACAGTATGTTGACATATCAATTTGAAACACCAAATCATTGGATGCAAAGTTATCCAAACTATGGACTAGGCATGTGTCTCCCTGTTTTGCAGTCTAACAGAATCAAAGGCACATCTCCCATGCTGGACATAGATCATTCTGAAACCAGATTTTTAACATTTTCAAATGCAGACCCCCATATTATGTCTGGCTCCTTACTCCCAAATGCCAAATACAGACATAGTGAAGGGCAGAAAAAGGAGGTTTATCATGGTAGCCATCGGAAAGGTGCATTTTAATATTTATCCAACATCTTTGGATAAATCTTGTGACTCTTATTTCTGTGATTGATAAGCAAAAAACCAGACATGGAGATGTGGCTCAAGTGGTAGAACACCAGCCTTGAGAGAAAAATCCAAACAAGAATGAGAAGGAGGCCTTGAGTTCAAGACCCTATCCTAGAACTGAAATTAAAAAAAATTATTGAATTTACAGGAATTAGAAGAATTTGAATACATGATTTGTATTGAAGATATTATATGCTTAGTAGTAAATGATAAACGATGTAGTAAATGATAAAGCAATATATTTGGTTCTATTGGTGTTTGAACTTGGGGTTTCCTACTTATTAGGCTCTAGAAGTTAAGTCATTTCACCATCAGTTTTTACTTTAGTTTATTTTTCAGATGAGATCTTGTGATTTTATCTGGCTTGGTCTTCTATTACAGTCCTTCTAATTTCATCTCCTGCATAGCTGCAGAAACATATACCACGTGCTACAACTTGTTTTTGTGGTTGAGTCTCACTGCTTTCCAGGACAGCTATGAAGCACAATCTTAAAAATCTATGCCTCCAGGGGATGGGAAGGTGACTCAGTGGTAGAGCGCTTGCCTTGCATGCTTGAGGCCCTGGGTTCCATTCCTCAGCACCACATAAGCAAAAAGAAAAAAGCTGGAAGTGGCACTGTGGCTCAACTGGTAGAGTGCTAGGCTTGAGATGAAGAGCTGAGGGACAGCACCCAGGCCCAGAGTTCAGGCCCCACGACCAGACCCCAAAAAAAATTTAAAAAAAAAATCTATGCTTCCAGCTTAGTTGGGATTGTAGGCATGAATTACCATGTCAATCCCTTCAATGAAAATGCTTTTAAGAACCTTGTTACTAAGCTAGGCCCTGGTGGCTCACCCTTATAATCCTTGCTACTCAAGAGGCCGATATACTACTTGTTAAAGCTCTTTATCATATCACCTGATCTGGAAGAAATAGTTTAATATTAATGTTTGTAGAGCTCATAAACTTCATACATTAAAATGATGATGATAATCATTATGAAGGATAAAATGTATTTATGACTTTAAATAAGTATAACTATGCCACAGTCCTGTGAAATTTATGTAAGTTACTTAATCTCAATAAAGAAGTCTTTTTGAGTAAAAAAGCTCTTTATAAATACTGGCTCAAAAATCTTGAGACTTTAGTTTCTGTGAAATTGAATAGTTCATTGACTCATGACACATTCACAAAAGAAAAGTATCAGGTCCTAGGACAAGTTCCTGTATCCACCAGTGGCAAGGCTGAATAGCAGTGGGAACATGTTTCACATTATATGAACACCTAGAGCATTTCAGTAAGGCTTTACAAAAATTCCTTGAAATGATTCCATATTAGCTAAAAGTAAAACAGGTTAGATTTCATATACAGAGGTAAAAAGTACTTGTTTATGGATTGATTGGTGTTAACAATCCAGAAATTAGTTGTTAGTAATATTCCTAAATTATGTATTGGTTGCTAATCAGGTTTTAATATTTCAACAAGCTTTCAGGAAGGTTTTGTCAAATTTATAGTCTTTGGACTTGTAGCTTTTTTTATTATGAAAATACCATACAGAGGGGTTACAATTACATGGAAAAGATGAGTACATTTCTTATCAGTGTTGTTGCCTCCTCCTTTGTTTCCCCTTCCCATCCCTACCCATACTCCTCCCCAACCTCCCTATACAATTCTCCCCCCCCCACCAAAGTTGTAAAGTTCCTTTTTTGATATAACGACTTGTACATCTCATTGTTGCAATGGTTCCACCTGTATCCCTATTTAAAATATTTGTTTTTTCCCCTCCCCTCCACAAATTATACCAACATCAAATACAGTGAAAGCAGGGTTATACCGTGGGGAAGGGTTATACAAAGCAACATAGAAATCATCTTATAAATATGTTGGAAACAATTGCATGAAAGAAAAAAAAACATTTGAATACTTATCTTGGGGTTTATTTCCCTAACATCAACTTATCTGACCTATTCTGCTTGACTCAGACATTTACTAGTTATTGCAAATAAGGGAAATCATGGGATCTGTTTCTTTGGGCCTGGATTACTTACTTCATATAATAATATAATTTTTCCACATCTTTCCATTTCCTAACAAATGGGGTAATGTCATTCTTTCTGATGGAGGCATAGAATTCCGTTGTGTGTATATACCACATTTTCTTGATCCATTCATCTTTTGAGGGGCATCTGGGTTGGTTCCATATCTTGCTATGGTAAATAATGCTGCAATAAACATTGTTGTGCTGGTAGCTTTAGTATGGTCTTGTTTGTGATCATTTGGGTATGGACTTGTAGCTTTTAGTTGATTAACTTCCTTTGCCTTTCCCTTCTTTCTCCTCTGTCTTTTAAAATTTAGGACAATTTTGCTTTTATTATAGCTCATAAACAATGACTAAACAGAAAGTATAACACAAGAAAGACTAACGGAATCTCTAGAGCTCTAAGTCCAGTGACACTGAAGTCTCTCCAGTGAGACCTAGGGAGGATTGGCACCGACGATTTTGAGGCCTTTGAATGCTAAACATGGTGGTAGAATTCGAATTCAGAGGCTACTACCATCTAATGGAAGACTGTATCTCACTATCTCATTTGCCCATAGATTATTCCTGAAAAACACCCCAGGATGCTATGTCTTGGCAAAGAATGACAGCCATGGAAGGTGATTCTAAATTTATATCCTTCTAGTTTATAGTGTATCCTTCTAATGCTGAAACTACAGAGAAAATAAATCTCCAGGTTGCCTCTACCCATTTGGTCATAGAATGGGCCCATAACTAGCTTATGTCAAGGACAAGCAGAAAAGGTCAAAAGCTATGTACATATCACCAGATGATGTTAAGTGAAATGAACCGCCAAGATAGGGACCCAAGTGGTTTTTTTCTTTCTTGCTATTGTTTCTAACATTTTTATAATGTACCATGTGATTTTTTTTCCTTTCTTTGTATGTGCCTCCCCCATGGTATAACTCCTGTTTTCACTGTATTTGATGTTGGTGCCCTGTACCTTGTATATACACTTCTTTAGTTTGGGGAGAGGAAGGGAAAAAACAAAATACTTAAATAGGGATACAGGTTGACCTATTGTAACAATGAGATGTGCAAGACACTACGTTGAAAACGAACTTTACAACTTCTGAAGGTATGGTGA